ATATTGTCCCAAGAGTCTGCATCAACAAAGTATACATGAAGTTAATTTTGGTCCTGTTTTGTTTTCTGGTGAACGGTAGCACCTGAGCAGGCTCTGCTGTGACTTTGTTTTGCTCACAGATTGGCTTTGGTGAAGCTTATAAGAGGGTAGATTGTTCTACAGAACAGAGTCTTCTCCAGTCCTTAAACCTTTGGCTTCATTTGAGACCAGTAAGGATTTTGCACCATGGGAGACCACAGTTTTTTCTCACAGAAGGTCTGACATGTTCCTCACCACAGGCTTGGTGGGGTATCTGCTTAGGGCACCACACCCTCTTCTTTTCACTTCTCATCTTGGCAAATCTTTTACATTTTTAGACTTGGCAATTTCAGCAGGTCAGAAGATGGCTCCTGGGAGGCTCAAATACTGTCTGTTACTCTAATAACCACTCGGTTAGCCCTTCCAGGAAATGTGATTTTCCCCTATGTCCACTTTGACTTTTTGTGAATTCTTGGGGGAAATTCTTCATATACTTTGGCTAGAGCTCTTTTTTTGCCAGCTATGTATTACCAGTCTTTCCAAATGCTCTTGGGTAAAATTTAAAAAAAAAATAAATTCATAATTTAAGTGCAGGCAGTAAGCTTTATCCATCTCTCTTAATTCTCTGAAATTGTGGGGCTTCACAGTTTGGGATCTGGTGGGAAATCTTCCTACAGATGCTCTTAGAACCTCAGTTTGGTACCTTTGGGCCTTTGGTGGGAATTTGGTATTAATCCAATATGAGCTTCTTTAAAGGCCCCTTTCCCACGTGCTGCAGCGACTGTAGATCCATATTTCATTTTTGACAAGAAATCTTCCTGTGGATTCTTTTCTATCAGCTCATCTTTACGTCTCTTTTTTTTTAATTGTGATTTTATTCCTAAAAATCTCACAGGGTTTTTATGTTGGTTTTCATTAAATTAATATTTTGGCTAATATATCTTAAACATTTTTATAAGATCACCTTTAAGGACTTTGGTTTTAAAATTAAATAGATGGTGGGCATTGATAGTGTATAGTCATCCCCCTCAATTGTCTTCTCATGCTATCTATATATGCTTTATTTAGGGTTTTCTGAGTAAAAAATATCATCTGTGATTAAAGACAAGCTTTATTTTCTTCCTTTCAAATTTTATCTCTTTTACTTATTTATTTTACTTACCTACAAACCACAGCATTGCTCATTTTGAACTTTGTCCAGCCCAGCCTATTTCTTCTTTCTTTTCTCCCTGAGAATATTCTTATCCAACCTTTCTTACAAAGCAATGTTAATATTTCTCTGCAGCGAAGGCTGTGGCCCTGACTGAGGTCACTGGGAAGCTGGCTGTCTGGCTCCTCTGCAGCTAATCTTACTCAGACCGTCCTGACTGTCTTCACTGTGAGCAACTACAGATTGGAGCTCAGACCCTCTCCACATCCTCTCCACTGCCTGGCTCCACCTTCCAATGTTTGTTTTTTTTTTTCTTTTTTAGTTTTACAGTGGGGACTTGAAAGAGTGAGGGAACAGCTGTAACCATTAGTCTTAATTCAGGAAGCAGGACGGAACGTAGAAGTCTGTGGATCAGACACCAGGGCCTGGACACACAGGGACACCTCCGGAGCTCCTTTCCCTTAGGTGTGGACCTATTGCATTGGTCCCTAAATAACAATACATCCTATTGGGCCTATCTGTGGATGTTATCCTCCCCCCCAAATTAAAATATGAATAAAGTTCAATAAAACACAGTACACTGATTTCTCACATGCTGAATATACACCAAAATAAGCTTTCTACTACTCTGTGGACTCCCTGACCTCTGAAGAGGTCTGTCTAAGCAGAGGCCAAACTTGTCACTGAGTCTCAGAGAGAGGATAGGTTTGCTGTGTGGGTCAGGGAGGTCAGACTTCAATAGATAGGCCTGACTACTCCACCCAAGATTATAAGGGAGACACTGCTTTGTAAGAGTCTAAGAAGGACTGAAGCAGACTCAGGGCTTCAGTTTTAGAAGCTCTGAGTGGGCAAAAAGTGTCGGTGACACCACTGTATAGATCAGCTGCATTTGATTTTCAAGGGCTTAGGGGCAGTGTAGATACAGTGATGTATCTGTCCTTTGGGGTGTTCATTTGTGGAATTTGGACAACTTGTTGTGACAGGAAGACCTGCTCCTGGACCAGCTCTCCCTTATGATTGATGGTCAGTGCCAACCCCCCATTCTGGGAGTGAGCAGTGAAGAACCTGGAGTCCCTGATGCCATTAGCTTTGAGTATTAAAAAAAAAGCCAAGCTGTTGATAAAAACTGCAAGTCCATGAGAAGCTTTGAGCATATGTCCACAACTCATGGGGCTGGCCTTGTGTGTTTCACAGTAGCAGTGAGGAAGTTTGCTGTCCTGACCAGCCTCAGACAAATGAGCACAGGGGCTTTCCAGGGATCTGAAAGGGCCAGCTGCAAGAGCCTCAACAACAACAACAAAAAAAACCAACACAGAGGGGAAAGATCCATTAACTTAGAGACCTCCATAAACTTCAAAGAAATTACCATAAATACTCAAGGCTGTTGCTGTTGCTGAACTTTCACACAACTCCAGGGGAAAATATTCTCTCTTGAACTTGTAGTCTGATTTACATACAAACTCTGCCTTCTGCTGTCATCATTTCTTAGTGTAGTTCTGGTTACTAAAACAGCAGAGGCAGTGTTTACTTTATTTATATTTATTTGAAGATGAATTTTGAGGAGAATCCAAATCATACATATTTTCCCTTTAGTTTTGGTCATTAACCTGCCACTGCAACGAAGCCCGAATGTCTTTGACATGTGGGACCCCAGGGGAGACTCAGACAACAAACCTGTTTCTCTCATTTTCTGGCTTTCACTTCCTTGTGCTGTGCTGTTCTCCAGAGCTCTTAGCAGTTTCCACTAAATCATGACTTAGCTCAAACTTGCATCATACTTTAAAGGAATACCATAGCTGACACCTAGCAACTCCCAGGTGCATCCTGCTCTCTGAAGCACACAAGACTGGACTTCAAGTCCACAGAGATGAGACTCCATTTGTCATTCGCCTTCCAGTTTTAGTTCACATCAGATAATCAAGGGACTAAAGGAAAATGACATCTCCAGAAAGTGAGTCATACTTTGAAGTATAAACTTAAACATTAACTTTAGAGGTTAATAAAGAATCCATTGTGCCATACCAAGTTCAGAAGAAATGTTCTGCGAACCAGTCTTCCTTCCAGATGCCTGGAGGGCACCTATGGTGGGCAACCTTCTATTTTACTCTACTCTCCTCTTCTTTTCTCATCCCCTCCTTTACCTTTCTCTCTCCATCAAACACAAGCCTTCCGACTAAGATTGTGGTTTTGGTGATTTATTTTGTTATTGCATCCTATTTCCCCTGGAGACCCCAAGCTTTTCTGGAAGGAAGCAGGATCCCCGCATCTGCCCATCCTGTAGCTCTATAGCTTCCTGGCATCAGCCCAGAGTTGAGGTTCAACTGACTCTAAGAATCCCTGAGTCTGCCTCAGTCATTCTTAGACTCTTAGGAAGCAGTGCCCCCCTTATAATCTCGGGTGGGTCAGTCAGGCCTATCTATTGGAGTCTGACCTCCCTGACCTACACAGCACACTGACAGGAGAAGCTGGGGCCAGAGGAATACAGTGAGAGGTTGGCTTCCGGTCAGACCATGGAGTGTTGAAATTGAGGAAGAGAGGTCTGGCTATGGCTCAGAAGGTAGACCGCAGTCTTCACCACAGACACCAAGATAACAGAGACACTGGGCAAGGTAACTCAGAATCAGGCAAGGCCAGCAGCAAAGAGCTCTGGAGATGCAGACCCACAGGCTCTCTCCCTCAGCATGATGGAGTTGAGCATGGAAACTGCTTCTCTTTTTGGGTTTCTTTATTTTATTATCTTTTAATATTACAGATAACCACGGTATCTGTTTTGTAGAATTATTGTGAAAAGTTAAAAGGGTATATAGATGCCAACATGAATACTGGTTATGCTAATAACTGAGCTGTTGCCCTCTGTTGGCCGCAAACTGTCTTTCTGCCTTCTAGTGCATCCCACCAGCTGGAACTTCCTTCTATCTTCCTATGCCTCTTACGCTCTTGCTGTCTTCCCCCTTCCCTTCTTGCTGGTGTCACCTTCCATTGCATCTCCATGGTGGCCTTAGTACTTGACTTCCCATAGTACGTTCCTGTGCAAGGCTTTTTCTTTACCCCAGCACAGTGCCTTGCTCCCCAAGCCACATCACTTCCAGGAATTGACCCAACCCTAAAGTCTAGAAATGGCAGCTCTAAGCATTTAGGATAAGGACAGCCTGAACCTGGCTCCCTGAAGCTGTTCAAATGTGACTGGGAAGTAAAGAACTCATGCTCAACAGCACCAGTGCTCACTGTACACTGAAGTCACAACGTACAGGAAATACGGGATACAAACACAGAGTGAATCCTCAGGTTGCTTCCCAAGTCCCTCGTGCCTTGTTTATTGAGGAAGGATGAATGTTCCCAATAGCCTGAATATGTGAGCCTGGTACTGCAGCTTCCAGGAGCCTTATCTTCCTTTAGCAGCCAACTTAAATTCTTTGCTCAGAATTCCTGAGGCAGAAGCTCTTCCATGCAAGGTATCATCTTCCTCCTGTACAATGCCAGCACCTCAATGCCAAGCACATAGCAGGTGTTGAGCAACCACCTCCACTCATTTTAATGTCATGTGAGATCATTTATTACTTAAGCAATGACCTCATCATCTCTTTCATGTTTACTCTCCTTTCTTCCCCTAATAAAACTACTTTAAGATCACTGTTAGAAATGCAATGGAAAAGTCAATTCAGTGTTATTTTCTCTAGGTACTTTGTGTGCTTTGTATGTGTACTGTGTACACATGTAGGACACAAGTGTTTTAGTGTGGTTTTGACTGATGACTGCAAAGTATCTTATGTTAAATAATGTGCTTGTTAATTCAGATTGAATGTAAAAGAAAAACAAAAAAAAACCCACATTCTTTGTCCAGTTTATTTAGCTCTGAAAGATATTCCTCAATCAAAAGAATTAGATGATCTTTCTGATGACGGTTTTCTTTTCAGCAACTAGAACCTGGGCTGCCAAGTTTTTGATGGTGAGTGACATGGAGTTTTGGCGCCCTCTGGAGGTTCAGTGAAAAGTAAGTAACAGCAGTGCAGAAGCAGAGTTCCTACTCCGCACTTGACATTTTTGTTTTATCAGCCTAAGGAATAGGGACCTCTAGGGGACAAATGACTGCCAATAAACTTCCAAGTAACACACCTGTTGCACACAACTGCAGGCCTATGGAAAGTATGCATCAACTGGAGGACAATAAATTTAAAACAAGGGAGAATCAGTTAAGTCTGAGAGTCACAGCTGAATAAAGACAAGATCCTGTCAAGGCATTTGGCCTACTTCAAAAGTGAAACATGGTTCTGTACACTAAATTTATTGACATATCCTTGGATAAAATTTTGTTATCAAAATACATTGTCTGAAATTTCTATTGACTTTTGTAATTATCATATCTGAATCTTACAAGGAAGATTTAAAAGTAAGAAGACTAGCCTGAGTGACCACATGAACAAACGTGTAGTTCTTTGCAAATGTGCCAAGAAAGATCTTGCCACTGAAATGCTGTGTTCGGGAGCTGGGCCTGGAAAATATAGTGGTGTTCATCCATGGACCCCATGAAATATTCCAATTAGATACTTGAGCATGGCCATCACCCTACCCACAAGACAGTTGAGAGGATGCCATGCAGGCTTCCTTGATCCTCTATCTTTTCCTGTCTGGAACAGTGATGAAGAGGACATTCTCAGGGTTGCACCAACAAACCCAATTGCTTGTTTATAATTCTGGCTTGTAGGGTTTTCCCTAATATAAGGACAAAATATTAAGACAACTCCTCAAAGAATAATTTTAGCTACTGAGTGTGAGTTTCACAAAACATTTGTGTATGTGTTATGTGTGAAAGCCAGAGGACAACCTCAGGTGTTGTTCCTCAGGAATGCCTAATATGTTTTTTTTTAATCATATATATATTATATTATATATATATATAATATATAGTTAGAGGTAAACTTGTATGAGTAGGTTCTTTCCTTCCATCAAGTTGGTTTTCTAGGAACTGCACTTGGATGCACTTGCAATACTTGGCAGCAGCCACCCTTACTCACTGAGCCATCTCCTAAGTACCATCTCATTTTTGAGAGTCTCTCTGGCTTACAGCTAGACAAGTAGGCTAGGCTGGCTGGTCAGGGCACTCTAGAAACCTGTCTGTCTCCCCATCTCCATTAGTGGGATTATAGTGCATGTTATCATGCACAAATTTTAAGTGAGTTCAAACTCAGGTCTTCATGCTTACAACAAAAGTACATCTGAGCCATCTCTCCAATTCAAAATATTGATTTAAAAAAAAAAAACCAACAAAACTTTAATTGTCTCAAAAACTAAGCACATATGCATCCACAACAACATATACAGAGACAAGGCACAAAAGCCTAAAAGTCATGGTTATAAAAAGTCTGAGGTATTAATATCAAAATATTGTAAACAATACCTTTCTACTATTTTATCAGAGAAAAAAACTAGATTAAGTTGGATGGTTCCAAATACAGTCCGTCTAAACAATGTATGATTAGTGATAGTGTTGTCTCAAAATGCACAGAATCTACAAGTCCCCTCTCTTTCTAGTTTCTCCATCACCCCTGAAGCTGCTCTGGACAATGCCAGAACTCAAGCAGCTCAACCACTCTCTTTCCTATATGGACCAATATCCTTGGACACAAAGGTCAAGGGGAACAGATCTGATTGGTGAGTTCTAGACCTACCTGACACTCTCCTGCTTCAGATTTATCTAACTAAATATAACTAAACAATATATTGTCATTTTCTGTGAAACTAATCAATGTTGTCATGAGTGCCTTCGTAAACAAAATGATTAAACACCCTGAACCAGTAGTTTTCAGAAACACAAATTAGATATACCCTTAGATACAATGTCCATGACTTAACAGTGTGGTTTTAAATTTAAAATTTGACTTACTATACTATGTTATTTCTGCTGGTACTTTTGCTATTGTTGTTCAGTGTAAAAGTGGAACAAATCAAGACTTTGAGAGCACAATTCAGGTTAAGTGCTGCAGCGGCTTCATGAAGGAACCACAGATTCACACTTTAGGATTATCAGACTGTGGCCATTCAGTCGGTAGGCTTTCTACTAAGAGACTGAAGTGGATAAACATTTCAGACTGCACTTTCGGGTTTCAGAACATAACTTTAATCTACTGAACTGTCTACTTTTAACCTTTTAAATACGTTTATCTAGATTTTATTTTATTTTAGAACATTGAAGAATGTTTCATTTAGGAAGGAAAAAAAATCCTACTAAATAAAGAAAATAATTCACAAATTATTTCTTTAAACTAAAGCTGAGAGTCTATAGAATTCTCAGCACTATATACTGTTTCTAAGTCTGGGTCTCCAGTCATTTGTAATTTCTAGAGATTTATTTTTGCTCCAGATTCCACGGAAACTAAGGATATCTGACAAAACAAAAGCAATATGCCCTTCTCTGTACTCAACAAGCCCCAGCTGCACAAGATGTGACACTCAGGAGGAACTGGTCTGTACTTGTCACAGTCGGTGTAGGGACAGCTAAGTCATTCACCGAGTATGCAAGTATTTATAATTTTGTACCCAGAAAAAACAAAACCAAACGGTTCATTTGACATACTATTTTCCATGGAGCCTTGACTTCACAGCATCCATTCTAGCTTAATATTTTTAAACAAAACATTTTCAGTGGCATAGCCCCAACTCAATTCTTTAGAGGCTTGGCTGCATGGGAACCGATACACTGCATTCTTTTCTAGACCTGCCCCACAGGTCCCTCAGCCTGGGTACTGCTGACATCATATAAAGAACAATACTCCATGGTGGGGCTGTCCTGTGCCCTGCTGCATTTCAGCATCCTCGTCTCTCCCAAGAGACACAAGTACCATGCCCATCTATGGTGACAAATGTCACCAAAGTCTCTGGGGGAACAAAATCACCCTTAACTGAGAGCGACCACTACAGGCTAGAAACAGAAGAGTGAGCAGGTAGTGGTGCCACAGCAGGGTGGCACTGTTTATTTCTCAGTGTCCTCGTGCAAAGTTGAGCGAACTCTAGTTATATAATGAGGTCTACCAGCAAACGGTGAAAAGCTGTGTAGGCCTCTTCCTGTGGCTGAACCGGAAAGATCCCACCATGCAAATGTGTGCGTCCACATTCAATGTGCGCCCAGGTGACATCGTTAGTTCTTTTAAGAAACAGCGCTAGCGAGGGCTCCGTTTTCCAAACCAAGAGTCAGCTGACAGAGGAACATCTGGGCCATGTGCAGCTTACAGCTGGAAACCACCAAGTCAGAGGAGAAACAAGGTCCGTGGCAACAGGTCGCCTTACTCTTCTTTTCTTCTCCTTTTCCTCTTTTCTTGCATTCTCTTCAGGTCAGACATCACATTCAAAGTCTTCTGTACCCACATAATCTAATAAAATCATTTAGAGTCACGATTAAAACTGGGCAGTGTATGATTGAAGAAACCCAGGACATACAAAGTCTGTACCATACATACCACAATGATCATGGCGTTGAACAGCAATGGTGCCGAGAACACGATAGAAATGAACATGCCCCGGGAATCAAAATACTGATATTTCGAAAACGATCTGTTTTAGAAAAAGAAGCAAACAAACATAATTATTGGACTTTCAGTCCTGGGAGGTGACAGAAGAATAGCAGTTAACAGTCTGGGTTCACTGAAGAGCTTACATTAATTGTAACACAATGACCTAAATTCTCACACTGCACAGAAACAGCTCTAATGTTTTTCATAAATTATGGAGTAAGGGCTGTATTCCTGTTAGAGCTACCTAAGAGAGTGCTGTGTCTAGTACCTCCTGCTTCCCCTTCCTGCCACTTTAGCGAAGTAACTGCCTTTCTGTGGAAGAGACTTGAAGACTGCATGATTCCAACTTGCCCAAGGGTAAAGAGCCAGGCGGTAGAAGGTAGGAGCTGTCTACAGGGATTTCTCTCTTGGTAATGTGGAAATATGCTACATAGGTGTTTTCACTGACTCAGTAACGGTGATTTTGTACCTGCTACATGAGCTATGGGTTACAGCAAGGAACAGTGAGGACAGACTCACTCTTAAAGGAAGCCTATCTTCTGGAGAGGAGGAGCTCGGGAACAGTGCTGGTCTGACTTATCAAAACAAAGCAGGGAACATGGGAATCTATGGGTGGGGAGAGGTCAAGTCTAGACTCTGACCTGGAAAAGGGATCAACACAAATTTGAGGTGGCCGTGGGACCAGCAGGAGGGGCTGCAGCAGGGGCCATGGGCATCAGTACTGTTCTGTGCCTTTCTGAGTGATTAGGGTTCCATTGGGATGTTTGGCGTGATCTGCACTGAGACAGGAGAATCGATTAAGACAACTCAGGTCCAGGGTTGAGACTGGGAAAGCAGGGGGATGAGTGTGGAGGCTCTGTCACTGTCCAGGTATTGGGAGGATGCTTCCAAGAGGAAAGGGGAGCGGTCAGGGGAAAGGTCTCAGAATCACCACTTGCTCCCTAATACCAACCCTTACTACTCAATACCTTCTAAAGCTTCCACCTTTTGAATTCTGAAACTCAAAATACTTTATAATACTTCCAATATTCTCTCAGAGATTGTTACTTTATTAGCCTGCACCTTAAGAGCTCAGGTGGTGCAGTCAGCACAGTTATGCCATTCTTGAAATATCTTAATGTTTTGTAAGCCTTTGAGGCCTCCCAGACCACAAGGAGTTATCCCAAAGTGACAATGGGATTTTTGTTTAATAACACATAGCTTCAATGAGGAGCTTTTGATTACTTATTTTTATTAATAAAATAAAATTATTAGTCTTCCCTTAACAACAATAAAAATATTTAACTGCTTGTTTCTTAAGGCCTAAGCCATAAATATGCTTAATATTTATGTGGCCATGATTCCTGACATCTTCAATTTCCCTATCAGTTTCATGTTTTCTTTACAAAGTACCATATGGCAATACTACAGCAGAGGGAAACTCCTAAGACACAGCCAAGAGCATGGAAAGCTGACTTTACCTCCAATTCATTGCAGCCACTTCATTGATATACTCAGCAAAATAGACTAACAACACTAAGAAAAGATAGAAATCATATTAGAATTACATGGCCAATCACAATCATTATAGAGCAAAGATAATACATTTTTACATATAGCAACGGAATACCAAAATAATTTGCCGAGAAATGCAATTTCCATTTTAGCTTGGATGTATGAAGAGCTATGAAATGGCCAAGTTCAGAACATGCCTATTTAATAGGAATCAGAAAAAAGGTCAGCATGTGTGTGAGATGCCAAGGGTCTTAGTGAAACTCCCATGAAGCTGTTCTGCACTGACAGGACTGCCATCATCCAGGTGGGAAGCTCAGTGTCGGAGCCTCAGTATTTATGGGAACAAAGGAAGTAACTCGGATGTTTTCATGCTGTTTGAGATTTTTAATGAGCCATAAAGCGTACAAAGCATAAAGAGCAGTGTCTGCCATTTCTTAAGAAGGTCTGTGGTTATCCCTCTTCAAAATTTCAAGGACATACATTGTTCTGAAACTTAGAAAATTGTTTCTCTTTTCAAGGCACTTCCCTCAAGACCTCTGCACAAAGTTGGCATGCCGGGCCTCCTGTCTGCTCATACCTGTGTGCCTCTACACTGACTGCAGAAATTCACACCGCCCCCCCAACACGTTTCACTGCGCCCCTCAGTTCTGCTCTCATCAAAATGATCATTATAGCTGGTAACAGTAAATTACAATACACCTACAGGCATCTACTGAATGTGGGTGTCCCCCAAGGAAGTTACATTAAGCTTAGAGGCCTATTTTGCTCACCACTGTAACCCCAACATTTCTCAGGAAAAGAACTTCAAATGAAGAATGGACAACATTTCTGCAGTGTGAATGCAATATCACTTCACTCATTTTTCTAAGATGGCTACTTGATCATAGGTCCTACCTCTCACAGTCAATTGATTAAATCTGTCTAAAATCAGCTTTTCCATTTACCAAGCAAAATCTTCTCCTCCTTCCAGTGTCCACAAATTACTCAGCTTTGGAACACTTAGCTCCTCTGGACTGTGGTGTCTCACCTATAATCCAGCTTCCTACTCATCTTCCACCCCATATTTTAGGGGCTCTGCCCACTTGTCTGCATGTGCGTCCGACCTCATGCCTGGGCCAGCCAGCTATTACTGATATTTTCTTACTGACATTTTACTAAGTATCCTTTTGACCTGACTGAGGAGCCTAATATATTGATTGTCCACATTTGGCCAAGTACCATAGTTTTTATTTTGTGTCTATGTATAATCTTTCTCCAGTCTGTATACCTAATCCCTTCCCACAATTTCTAAAGCCATCATCCATAAAACTGTTCTGAAACAGTATTTTATGTAGAGAATGTCTTTTAATTTGTAGTCTGATTTCCAGAACATGCAGAGTTGGACTAAGCCTAGCAAGAAACTATCTTCACGAAAGTCACGCCATTTAGGACTGAACTCAAGCAGGAAATTATCTGTGTAAGAGTCAGCATAACAGAACCAATCTTAGTACAGTTAATGCTCCACATCCTTCCTGACCAGCCTGAAGCAAAAGGAAGACCCCCTTTCAAAGGTCAATGTCCAAAGATTACTTCATGATTTCCACACAGAATGGGAGGCTTGGGAAACGCTGTGAAAACATAATGCAAACAAACCCTGGGCGACATCGCAAGAGTCAAAGCGCAGGGATTCAGTTTTCTCCTACTCACCTAGGCACAGGAAGTGTCCGATCTGTAGTTTATACCTCTGTGATGAGAAGCATGTGAGAAGTAGGCACAGCAGGTGGAAGACGACAAGTCCTAGGAGCCATGGCTCTGTCCAGTCTGTCTCCTGTGAGGATACACTGTTAGAAACTTTTGTGTGTGTGTGGGGGGGGGGGCAGGGGGAGGCAGTCGGTATGTCTGCAAAACTGCTTTCCTGTGGGTAATGGGAATTACTGGTCCCTTCCCCTGAGTTTTGGTATAACACAGCTAAGCCTCAGAGACAAGTGGGAACAAGAATAAAAAAAAAAAGAGGAAACAACAGTTGCAAACACACCCCCGGATTTTACATAATGATTTTAAAAGTCTGAGCACACTTGCCTCTTTTGATTGGTGAATACAATTCTTTTCAAGCTGGGTGAAATCTAAGGGGTTATTATCATCTAAAGTCAAGCTGATCTAACCAAGGAGATGCACTTGGGGCGTGTGAAGCTGCTTAAAAGAAGCTCATCATGAGGCCTGGAAATGGGAGCCATTCTAACCTGTAGGACTGGCTGTCCCCAGCACTTCTGCAATGCACATGGCTCTCTGGATAGTGCTTCATCAGTTCTTTGGGGGGCCTTATAGATGACCAATGTCCATACCCCAAGGCTCAAATTTGACTGCCCCCCCCTCCCAATACACAGTTCCGAGTCCACAATTCTCAGCACTTTCCCCCAAGCCCTTATCCAAGGGCACTGCTCCACAAGGCAAGGCTAGCTCCGGAGTGTGGAGCCCAAAATCTCTTCAGGACCGCTTGGAGTCCATTTGTACTGTTTGTGTCTTCTGGGCCACACCGGAAAGACAGCACATTGAGAGTCTGTGCAGAGCCCGGTGGGGAAAGCAATGTATACTGCAGCTGCCAAGACCCCACCAGGGGACCGCTTGCCTGCGCGCACCCGGGGTCTGCCCCATGCAGGGGAGCCTCGGTGGGCACACTGGCGTGGGGGACACCCGGGCTTTACCCCATCCAGCCGAGCCACAGCGCGACTTCAGGATACAGTCTGCCCGCGCCTGCTCTGTCCACCAAAGAACTAGAGCATCCCCACCACGAGCCAGCGCCTCCCAGTCTCCAGAGTCTGCTAGTTACCATGATCACCGCGGGGATGCTGACGGGGAAGGCTTTGACCGAGAACGGGGACGGCATCACGCCGGGGACACAGACAATCTGGAGAACTCCGCGGCTTCCGGCAGCCGGGAAACTCGCCCAGTCTTCTCGCGAGATCTACGGCTACGAACCTGGCATTCAGCTCTTCTCGCGAGAATTCCTTAAAAAAAAAAAGAGGTCCAACTTTCATTATTACATTAATGGATTTCTGCAAGAAGTGCGAAAGTGTTCGCCCTCCTTAGAAAGCTGAGGGTGCTTGGTTCCACAGACTCAGCCAGCGTCTGGGGCCAGTCTGTCAGGCTCACACAGCACCTGCACCACAGTCCGGGAATGAACTGGCGACCCGGCATGCTCTTTGCAGACCTAGGCTGGACCCGGCGTTCTCCTCACAGACCTGGGGTGAAAACAGCGTTGGCCCCACAGAATCAGGATCATCTCGGCATCTCTACCTCACACCTGGAAAGGGCACGGCGACCTCCACACAAACCCGAGATGAGGACAGCGTGCTCCTCAGAGAGTCCCACAGAATCGGGATGAGCTCAGCATCCTCATCAGGACCAGGGACAGATGCAACATCCTTGGCACAGACCAGCGTCCGTGCTTCTTCTCATTTCCAGGACAGAATGCACTGTCTCTCCCACAGACCCAGGATGGGTTCTGCGTCTGTGCTCCTCACAGAGCCGGAATGAACTGGATGACTTACCCCACAGAGTCGTAGTGGATGACATGGCATAGACACCCTGAAGACCCAGGATGAATATAGTGTCGGGTCCCACAAACCCTGCATAGATTGAGCTGTCTTCCTGTTACTCCTGTTATTGGAGAAGGGTCAGTCCATTGAACATGAACTGGCAATGGATTGTTTAATGTTTTTAAGACTGTTAAGCACATTTAGCTCATGTATGAAGTTCTCCTAATTGCGTGTGTAAACAATGAGAACCCAAAAGTGTTAAGTCTTTATGCCAAAACATAGGCACATGCACAAATGCATGCACCTTTTGATACAATCTGCGCTTGCTCTTCACTTAATGGTGTGAGACTCTCGGGTCTGAACACCGTGACAGCCATAGCCCATCTGCTTCACTTGGCTGTGGAATGGGCTCTGATATAGTGGTCCCATATCCTTAACCCACTAAGTCTTCCTCCTCTCTCCCAGAAGCATACCCAGGCTGTCATTGTTGCCTCATCTGTCCTTTTCTTAATTGAGCTACTCCCTGTTTCTCATGCACATGTCCCCGGCTATCTTCACCAAAGATAAGGGAAGAAAGGAAGGGGGAAAGAAGAAGGAGTAAGAGAAGGAAGCAGAAGGAGGAGGGAAGAAAGTCTCAAGGCCATCTGAGAAGTCTTGCTTTAAGGAACACAGGGTGTTCCCACTCTGCCAGGATAAGGGTCTTCCCCATTCAGCATTACTGTCATTTGCTTAGAGCTGATGTGTGGATTGGAATTTTCTTGTGGGTCTGAGAGCTAGCTATTCCTGACGTTTTGTGGAGTGACTTCAGTGAAGGCATGTAATAAAAGACTAGTTGTAGATGCTTTGTCACAAGGATGGGGCCCAGCCTTGAGATAATTTGCCACTGAAGAATTAGTATAACATGGGACTTAATTCCTGGGCTATGGAATCCTGCCATAGGGGGCATGCTGCTAAGCTGTCTGCATTGCTTTCCCCAGACCAAACTCCCCAACAGGCAGTTCATGAGGAGTCCTTCCTTTGTTTCTAGATACCTGAAACCTATAGATTTCCTTGTCTGATTGCATCTCTTTTCTATCCCTGTACTGTGCTGTAACAATAAATCTTTCTGCCAGCTGCCCGAGCCCTGATTTCCTGTCCACTACCTTTCTTCTTAGCACCATTCAGTTCATTCCCTAGCCCCGCATTTCAGGTGTCATGGCGTCCTTGCAGCCGTCCAGACCTTGGCTGACTTTCCTGGGGGCTCACTCACACATTTTCAACCTCTTCATTTGCTGTCTTGGTTCCCTGGGCTGCTCTAACAAGGCACCAGCAACTCTGGTGGAAATCTGGAGGGAAAGGAGGATCCCTTGTTCCTGGAGGTCAGTGTTCCAAGCTGATGAATGGGTCCAGCTCCTGAGGGCCTTGGTACACTCTACTGATGGGGGATGTCCTTCTGGTATGCTGTGTATATATGTTTCTCTTATTAGTTTAATAAAATGCTGATTGGCTGGTTGCCAGACAGGCAGTACAGGCAGGGCCACCAGGCTAAGAGAATGCTGGGAAAAGGAAGGCAGAAAGTGAGTTGTCAGGGAGACACAATGTAGCTGCCAACAGAGTAACATGCCAGAGCCTTACAGGTAAGCCATAGCCTTGTGGCAATACATAGTTTAATAGAAATGGGTTAATAATTAAGAGAGTGCTAGCCAATAAGAAGCCTGAGCCATTGGCCAAGCAGTTTATCATTAATATAAGCCTCTGTGTGCTTGTTTGGGACTGAATGGCTGAGGGACAAACTTCCCTTCTACACTCTACTAGATCCTGGTGTTATAGCCTCCAAAAAATGTTTAGCTTGCAGAGGCCTTCCTCCCTCTGAGTTTCCTCTTTGGGTTTGGGCCCAGCCCAGCCTCCCACGATCTCATCTAATCATAATCCCATCTGTAAAAACTGTGATTAGGCAATATTTCATCCTTATAGATCCTGGTTATCACTTCCTCATACCTTCCTGGTGACACTGTTCAACCCAGGGCATGGTTTAACATCACTAGTGTTTTTTTACCCATATTGTTTATTTACTTACTATTTTCCATATGATTATTTTATTGTTTATTAAATTATACACTGTTGTGGAATATTTGTTTAACCAGGTAGAGACATGTTACATTTGTTTATGCTGCAGAATATTACTTTAACTGTGTAAAGGTGTGTTACTTTTGTTAATGCTGCATTTGTTTAACGATGTAAGGATGTGGGTTTAATCATGTAAACATAGATACGGTGCATCTGTTTCACTTTGCCTCTTACGGCACCAGATTGGCCTAATAAAGGGCCAAACAGCCAATAGCTCGGCAGAGAAAGGATAGGTGGGGCTAGCGGGGCAGAGAGAAGAAACAGAAGGAGAAATCTAGACTTGAAAGAGAAGGCAAGAAGAAGAGAAGGAGCGACACACCTGGGGCAAAATGCCAGGCTGAAGCAGTGAAAATGAGAAATACAAAGGAAGGAAAGGTAAAAAGCCCCGAGGCAAAAGGAAGATAGAGAGAAACAGGTTACTTTAAAAGAGCTAGGCAGAAAGGTGCCTAAGCTAGGTTGAGCATTCAAAACTAATAATAAGTCTCTTTGTCAGGATTTGGGAACTGGTTGGTGGCCTAAAACAAAAAGTCTGGTACAATACATTTTTTATTTGATTTTATTTTTTCGGCTATGCAAGCCCAGGAGTAAAATCTGTCCCAGTCTCCCATGCACCTTTGGTTCACAGTACATGGTAAACCTGTATACATTCACCAAATAATGGAATGGAATGAATGAATTCATATATGGATTAACATGATTTCAAAGCTTTGGGAGAAGATAGCACTAAACATTTACTCCTCTGTTCTTTATGTTTTAGATGAGAACCATTCAGTACTTTTAACATTTTTTCCTGTTAATGTATTCAAGCTCTTGCTTCATTTTTTTCCTATTTTATTGTATTTTTATTAGAAACAAGCTTCTTTTACATGTCAATCCCAGTTCTCTCTCCCTCCCCTCCTCTCCTGACCCCCACCGCCTATACCAACCCCTTTCTGCTCCCCAGAGAGAGTGAGGCCTTCCATGGGGATCTTCAAAGTCTGTCATATCATTTGGAGCAGGGCCTAGACCATCCCTCGGGTGTCTAGGCTGAGAGAGTATCCCTATAGGTGGAGAGAGCTCCCAAAGTCCATTCCTATACCAGGGATAAATACTGATCCACTACCAGAGGCCCCATAGATTGACCAGACCTCCAAACTGACATCCTTGATCAGGGGGTCTGAAACAGTCATATGCTGGTTTCCTAGCTATCAGTTTGGGGTCCATGAACAACCCCTTGTCAGTCATCTGTCCCTGTGGGTTTCTCCAGTCTGGTCCTGACCCCTTTGTTCATCATTCCTCTCTCTCTGCACCTGGATTTCAGAGTTTAGCTCAGTGTTTATCTGTGGGTGTCTGCCTCTGCTTCCATCAGCTGCTGGATGAAGGTTCTAGGATGGCATATAAGGTAGTCATCAATCTCATTATCAGAGAAGGGCATTTACGGTAGCCTCTCAACCACTGCTTAGATTGTTAGTTGGGGTCAAACTCGTAGATCTCTGGACATTTTCCTAGTGCCAGAATTCTCTTTAAACCTGTAATGGCTCCCTCTATTGTAGTATCTCTTTTCTTGATTTCCTCAGTTCCTCCCCTGACTAAATCTTCTACTCTCTCATGTCCTCCTCTCTCCTCTTCTCCCCCTCTCTTTCTTCTAGCTCCCTGTCCCCTCCTGTAGGGGACAGTAAGCCACGTCTATTAGAGGCTGGCTACAGGTGTGCCTGACCACGACTGGACTGGTATCTATCTGAATAAAGATATCTTAAACCTACAGGCTCTCGCTTTACCCTCCCCCATGTTCCCAATTAGGTCAGGAGAACTTGTCCCTTTCCCCTTCTCCAGGGGACCATGCATGTCTCTCTTAGGATCCTCCTTGTTTCCTAGCTTCTCTGGTGGTGTGGTCTTGCTTCTTTATTAACTCTGATGATTAATACTTTCCTGGAAAATATGTATTTGCCACACAGTTTCAAATTTCTTGGCTGAAACTCTCCATTGCTTTCTGTTTATATTGTTAGAGGAGTTTTAGGGCAAACCTGTAGCTCAGGGAGTCCCGATAGGCTAGGCTCAGCCATTATCTTGATGTGCCAAGTAAAGAGATAAGTAAGGATGAAAAATAGAGATAAGGATTTAACCATTTTAGCCACATTGGGAAGAGGAACAGATAGAGGAATTCAGTTGCCTGAAGTCTGTCTTCAGGACAATGACATGAGCTTTAGGTTTAAATAAAGGAATACTTATGGTATAACGTCAAGAGATATTCATAATTAAGCAGTTTTTGTCGAGGGCTGGAAGGTCTGATCATTATCTCACTTCTACCAGGTGGTTAGAAGTCCTTATTGAAGCAGTATA